CTACTATTTGCTATTATACTATTTTACCACGACCAGAGCCGTTTGCATCTCGGAAACCGAGCTTTGCATGTTGACGCCCAAACTTGCATGTTGACCCAAGGGATCCCAACGGCGAGTGGTGATCGAGTGGCCGTGCTTAGAACCAGGGATGGAGAGTTGTGCATCAAGTCCACTGATCATAGTAGGGACTGGCTGTTGAGTGTTCGTCGACTCGTAGAGGCTGGTGGAACTTTCAAGTGGGATCGAGAGGCAGCCACGGTATCATCTCTTGACAGTGAAGGGCATGAGCAACACGTGGATTGCAGGATTCAGAACGGATTGCCTTTCCTGGATTGGGAGAGCTTCAAACCGATTCGGATCATGCTCTCAAAACACTTCAAACACAAGCCAACAGCTGCGCGTGCAGCTACAGCGCCAGCTCTTGAGTGGAAGAGTTGCCAAACATGTTCCATTGAGGAATTGGGTGAGGCTGTGTGGAATGAAAAGGCATATCGCATAACAACCGAAGAGAGTGAGGAGATCACCAAAGCAATCTGGGAGTCAGAAGCTAGAGCGAGAGAGCTGTTGAGTCGTAACAGCATATCGCATGAGGATGTGTGGCGACTTATCCAAGAGGCACACCTGAGAGGTCAAAGGACGCAGAGGCGGGATATGTTGGTGAATCCGGAGCAAGACCGAGTGCAGATCTGGATTTTCGGGATGTTCTGCCATTGGGGTGTGACGGGGATCACTTCAATTACTCGTGAGCGGCCTTTCTTGACGAAGCTACTTGTCAGATTCATGAGACAGGAGTTGCCGAAGCTGACATTCACCATGATCTCATTAGCAATTGATGCTATTTTGGAGCGACTCGTCGTTCCAACGTCCGCTGGTCTCGCACGCGAGCACGCGCAGCCTTTGCGGCATTCGGCGATGGCCAGGGCAGCACCGTCCCTGGTGGTTGAGGAGGGTTGCGGGCGGCCATCGCGGGCCAGCGGCCAGACCAGGGTCACGTCGCAATATGCCCCACCAGCGCCTCACCCAACCGGCAGACGCCGCTGCGCGATGCTGCGCGGATCGGAATCTTTTCCCCACCTTTGTCCTCGCCATTGTCTGTTTCACGGCTACACGACCGAGCTTCCAGCTCATACCGCTAGGACTCCCTTTCCTACAGGAGCCAAGTCGACGGTCGCAGCGGCGAACAGCCTGACCTAGGTCCAACCCGTAAATGCGCGCCTTGTCGTTCCAGCGCCTGCCCACCTCCGAACCCAACACGACGAGCTTTTGTGGCCCGCCGGGAAAAGCCCGGGTCGGAAGGGAGCTTCCGGCGCTCGGCCAGTCACGTGTCGTGGTCAGTCAGGTAGGGTGGTCGCGCCAGCCTCCGCACCTTTCCTCCTGTTGCAAAAGGTCCCGTGCCGCCGCCGCTTCGCGAAGGCAATCAACTTCTCTTCCGCGGATCTCGAGCGCTGCGGTCTCCCTTGACGCGAACGGGGTCCAAGAGTCCTGCACAGGGACAGCGCTTCGGGGCGAGCGGGAGGCGTTGGGTCGATGTCGTTGAAGAGCGGCGCTTGTCGAGTGCTTTCGATGCCGCGCGTTGCCAGCCCCGTCTTCCACCTGGAGCAGGTCGCGTTGTGCGTGGTGCTGGTGCCATTGCATCTTCCCCCAGCAGTCTTGGAATGGCGCGCAGGCGCGCTGGAACACTTCGTGGAGCTGCTGGGCGAGCGTGCGCACCACGAGGCGCCTGGACGCATCCCCATATAACCAGGGCTCTGACGCCGCCTGGGGGTTTTGTAAGCGCAACCATGCGGCCGAGCCGAACTGCCGGGATGATCGCCTCCGGTACCTCTGCGCGGGCCAGTTTGCTCGCCGCCGCAATCGGGAGCTGCGTGCCTTCTTCGTCGTCCACCAGCACGCGCAGGTGCTCGCTGGTGCAGCCAGACGGCCCAGGGGCGGCCCTTTTGCGTGCTCGGCGGGCGTTGGCGATGAGGCTGGAGGGGCAGAGCTCCAGGGGGGCCGGATGGCTGTGACGGAGTCGGGTCGCGGCTCGACCGGGATTTGCGGGCGTTCAGCGTGTCGCGGGTCATCGGGGCCAGCGGCAGAGCTGCGAGCGCCTTGGCTGCTGCGGACAGCTCACCGAGGTGGGCTAAGGAAATCCAAATAGCTTAAATAGCGGGGTTTTCCACGGTTGCGTTTGGCCGTGTTTTTCTTTCCGCGCCTTTGCAGGCCGGGGTCGCCGTGCGAGTTGCCTCTGCGCACGGGTAGCCGACAGGTATGTTGCCGAAAGGGTCACTGCGCTGGAGTCCTCAAACCGCAAAGTTTGGCAGACGCCGTCACCCCCGAAGGAGAGGCGCTGCCCGAACGGTGGCTGCCAACACCACTTCGCCGGGAGTCATGGCATGGCCGACGACTGCGGGCGCCTAGACCTCGCATTCTGAGGCCATGTAAGGGGCCGTGCGGCCTTTCCGTCGACCCCGCAGCCCCTGTGAAGGAAACCCACAAAGCCAAGGCAGCCGGCTAGATTTCATGTCACCCAGCGCCTTCGCTGTCTGAATTCAATGGCTGGCAGCGAGCAGCATCCAAGGTTGTTGACGATGCCCTCCTCGCTGGTCCAACCTCCGCGCTTGACGAAGCGTCCACTGCCCTGTTGCACTCTCAGGCACTTCCTTTTGCCGGTCGTGTCTACACTTCCCTCCCCACGTGCCCGGAGCTGCTCCGGCATTCAGCTGCCTATCTCCGGCGACTCCGCCTTCCATTGCCACCTGCCGTTGTGGCGCTCATCTTGAAACAGTCGGCGATCACGGTCAGCTTGCCCACGCGCTGGACTCCTCCGCGGGCAAAGAATGCTGCCGTGCGCGTTTGCAGGGAAGCTGGAGCCACAGTCGCTGTACATGTCCTACTGCGCGATCTCAACAAAAAAACATCACCACCCGTCAGCACGACGACCGGCGAATTGAGGTTATCGCCAACGGCCCCCGCTCTGGGGAGGAGTCCAGCTCGCTGTCGGCGCAGCCGGGTCGCTCGGCGCGGCGGGGGCAAGTTGCCGTCGTCCTCGTCCGCGGCCCCCACGGCCCTGCCGTCCTCGTCCCCGAGCACGAGGCACGCGAGCCGTCTCGCCAGCGACATGGGCGATGTGGGCGTCGATGTTGGGCTCGTGACGGGGTTCGGCGTTCTGGTTGGGGGCGCGTTCGTGCTCCCCAGTGCCACTGCCCGCGAGATCTGTGCGGATCTGTGCAGCACGTGCGTCCCCGGCGAAGCTCAGAAGCAACGCTTCCTGCGAGCTCGCGGTGAGGTAGGGGTTCTCAATGGCCAGTGCCGCCACAACGACCGGCAAAGCCACGCTGCCGCCACTGCCAGGCGTCGCAAGGCCTCCATCGGTGTGGGGGCGCCGGCCGCTGTCTGTTGGGCGATTGGGCGACGACGTCAACGTAGAGGAATGTCACAACCCTATTGTGGAGCCAGCATCGCAGGCCGTTCAGGGCTCCGTGCTTGACCAATAATGTCTGTTCAGCATGCCCTCGTCGGCGTGTTGAGCTCCTCGAAATCGTCGCTTTTGTGCGGGCGGCGAGGAGGACGTACTCCAAGATCGCGGGCGCGCTACCCTCACCCCCACCTCTCTGCCACGAGGTTGGCTGAGCACATGCACCTGTTGTAGATGATTTCCTGTTTTCGGTCCGATGTGTTGTGATTTGTTCCGCGGACCTGCAGGATTCTGCAGCTGCTACCGGATCTTGGATGGCCTGCGCCACAGCAGGACAGCTGCCGGCTCGTGCGCTGGAAAAGGCTCGCGCACCTTGAGCTCTCCATTCCACCCGCTGCCGATTCGTCGTGTTCGGCTTCGAAGCTGCGCCGCTGGAGCCAACAAGCTGCGTCTCCATCCTTTGTGGCCTTCCTTAACCAAACCTCGGGTGCACAGAAACCCAAAACAGCGCGTTGCAAGCGCTCTTCCGCCAAAGAGCCTTACTCTCATCATTCCTTCACGATCGCAGCACCATGGGCATGCACGCGGTGTGCAGTTGATGCTCGCGCGTGTTAACCGGGACTGTCCCCAACTCATGTTCAGCACGCATCAATCGGCATTCGTTTTCTCCGTGGCTGTTTCGAGGATGTGCTCTTTGTGATTGCGTCGGACACCACGGTTTGTCGTGGCACTTGTGCCAGCATCATCATGGAAGCGTCTCGTTGAGTACGTCCGGCAGCCCCTGTCCCCTTAGCACGACCACGGTGCCAAGAAGTGAAATGTGTCAGTGTGATGCATCTGGCAGCGCGGACGGCAACGTGTGTACAGAAACAACCACACGCATTCCCTTCTTACATCTGGGCGCATCTAAGAGCCAACTCGGTTTTGGTTGCATGACTTTACCAATGATGGCGGTGTTTGACTCATAAGCTTTATTGTTGGTTGTTCACATGTAACCAGCAGCAATTATGCCGACTCACGCTTGTTCCAAGGTGTAGCCTGCGTTGCGGCTGTTTCTTGGACGACACTTAGCATGACGTGCAGGTTTGGGTTCATTTTGTCTAGCAAACAGGAACTCAAGTAACATAAGATTTCATCACCGAAGGCCGCAAAAAGATCTCTCCGAAAGTCTGCGCGACAAGCGGCATCAAGTCCTTTTGAATACCACTTGGCCATTCATGCAAAGCTGGACCTGCCTAGCCAATCCGCCTTCTGCTCAGTTGCTCGGTTGTCTGAGTTTCGTGATCTGAAGTGGCAGTCGCAATGAGCATGTGCAGCACTTCGGAGCTTGAGGAGTGGACGCTGGTCAAACTGCACAAAGCAGCTGATCTAGTGCAACTCAAGCAGGCGACATCCCAAGCTTTAGGATTGGAGGACTCGCAAAGCTTGCAATTCTACATTGTGGAACGGGACGGTGCAGGCCGATGTGCACGACTGGGGCTGCTCACCCAGACGTCATCCCTTCAAGCTGTGCAGCTGACGTTGCCGAGTGATGTTTTGCAGGTGGTCGAATTGATTTGTACCACCAGCGACCCGCCGGCTGTGTCGGAGGTACCAACTGCAGCGGCGCCATTCCCACTGCCCGGCCCGTGCTTGCCTTTTGTGGGAACCACTTACCAGCTGTTGGGGCCAGATCCTATGCCAATGTACAATCTAGCCAGGAACGTTTTCCCTCCGAGGGCTTCGAAATATCCTTATGGGTCTACTGTTGGGTCATACAACGGTGGACGGAAGGAGGCAATCGGTGACTTCCCACCTAACACCATCTTCCACGATGATGCTCACACCGTGACGATCTTGACTGCCAGCGCAAGCATTGTTGAGGAGCTCATTGCTCGCGTGCCAGATTTCCCCAAGTTGTGGAACAGGCGAGTACAGATTGGATTGCAAGACTTCACCGAGAATGGTTTGTTCACAAGCAGTGAAACCTCGGAGGATTGGAAGGCGGCCCACAGTCTTCTCCCAAGAGGTTTCAACCAAATCAAAATCAAGAATTTTGCGCCGCAGATCTTGGCAAAGACCCGTGCCTTCATTCGCGAATGGTCGCATTTCCGTGCTGGCCAACGTGTGGAGGGTGTCAATGATTGGCTGACCGCCATGACGGCAGATGCGGTCGTCACCTGCAGCATGGGTTTTGACATGCGCAATGTAGAGCGGCTCGGAGCCAAACAGCCCCCGCATAAGTTCGTAGATAACTTCAGAATTGGCTTGGGCGTGTCAACCGGCAGCATCAACGCTTCCTCAGAATATGGACGGAAGCGGCACTTGCCTTTCTTCAATGCAGCCGGGAGATTGCAAGCAAAATACAAGGCAGCAAAATCGAACATGCAAGAGCAAGTGGAACAGATGGTTGAAGCAACCCGCGAAGGTGAAATGGGAGGACAGAACTCGATCATCCGGGCCATGCTCGAGGACCGCACTGGCGATGGCAGACACATCCGCTACGGTGCGCTCTATGGCCATGTGGTGAACTTGATGATTGCAGGCCATGAGACGACAGCTGCAACCCTTGGATTCACCATGCAACTGCTGGCACAGCACCCCGAATATGAAGCCAGGGCCTTGCAAGAAGTGCGTGAGGTGCTGCAGGGAAAGACTGAACCATCGGTAGACGATGTGCCCAAACTGCAGTTTGTCGAGCAGTGCTTCCGAGAGGCTTTGCGCTTGTACAGTCCTGTGACCAGCTTGACTCGAGACGCTGCGCATGACACCTTGCTGGGAGGCCACCGGGTTTACCAAGGGCAGCGCATCGTGGTGGTCACCCGGGCACTCCATACGAATCCGGAATATTGGGGTGGGAAGTTTGGAGATCCTTTATCCTTTAATCCTGATCGCTTCTCGCCGGATGCGGTGAAGGACAGACATCCAAATGCGTATCACCCATGGGGCTTCGCAACACGCTCCTGCATTGGAAGCCAGTTTGCCCTGTTTGAGGCCAAAACGTTTCTTGCTTCCATGCTTCTGCACTTCCGTCTCGAGGGCATCCCAGGGTACGAGATTGTGGCCAGCACCCACGCCGGCGGAGCAGCCCCTTCGCCCAAGGACTTGGCTTTCATCGTCTACCCGCGTCCTGGAGGGCCACTTTGGTCGGACACTGGCCTAATGCAGCCGCTTCCTGCGTTGGCGCTGACCCCTGACAGTCCGAAAGCCCAGCGCGGCCAGCCCGGCCAGCCTGGGACAAGCCTAGAAAGTACGAACGGCCACAAAGAGATCGCAGATGGTCCTGTCATGAAGGTTCTTTATGGATCCAATGCCGGCTCCAGTCAAGAATTCGCGTCTCAGGTGGTGGCAGCAGCCGGCAAGGCTGGATTCCAGGCTTCGTTAGAAACCCTGGATGCTGCAGTTTCCATGGGCTCGATGGTGCCAGATGGTCGAACGGTCATCGTTGTCACATCGACCTATAACGGCCTGCCCCCAGACAATGCCTGTCACTTCAAGGAATGGTTGGTGAAGCAGACAGGCGGTGCCTTGAATGGGCTGCAATTTGCGGTGTTCGGCGTTGGAAACTCGCAGTGGCACACATACCAGCAGTTTCCGCGAGAAGTGGATGCTGGTTTGCATTCCTGCGGGGGTACACGTATCTGCGGCTTGGGGTCTTGTGATGTGGATAGTTCTTCCTTCGATTCCGATTTCGAAGACTGGCTTGCGAATCTACTGCAGAGGATTGGCGGAGCATCTGGTGGAGCCAATGTCGCCTCGGCCGAGGACGACTCTGGAAGGGACGAGTTCCTGCTGGAGAATGGCCCCTTGGACAGTGTGACCGTGCAGGCCGATGTGAAGAATGGAGTCGCTGCCATCAATGCTGCCATGCAAACTGCGGCCAAGTTGTCTGGCGAAGCCGCGCCTCCAACGCGAAACGTCTCCCTTGAAGTGCCTCGGCATAGACAGTACAGCGATGTACAGAGCATGGGCGTGATGGACGAACTTGTCTTATGATCAGGCTTCGTGTATGGTTATTGAAAACAGTTAAATAAGATTGAGCTATGTTGAAATGTTGGTGGTTAGACAGGTCGTTTTACCTAGCCGCGAGCTGTGCAAGAAGCCTGATGCTCGAAGTGTTCGTCATGTGACTCTGCGACTTCCTGAAGATCATCCAGGATACCAGCCGGGGGACCACTTGGAAGTTCTGCCTCCAAATGATCCAGCGTTGGTGCAGATGGTCCTCGACGTGTTGCAGCTAAGGGAGGACGCTGCAGTACGTTGGAACCTCAACCGGATGCAGAAGAAATGGCGTAATGTAAATCTGGGGAAAGATGCGGGGTGGTGGGAGAAGCTGCCATCGTTGCATTTCACTGCAGGCTTGGTTCTGCAGTACTTTCCTGATCTTGCAAGTCCACCTGGACGCAAAGCATGCGCTGCTCTTGCACAGCTTGCAACAAATCCGGTGGCCAGGGACGAGCTCGTCCTGCTTGGAAGTGATGCTGAGCACCACAAACTGAAAGTAGCCTCTGTCGGTCTCTCACTGGCTGAGCTGATTCACGGCTTCAAAGGCAGCCTCGAGTGTCAAATTGGTGACATCCTCGTGATCGCCAAGCCGCTTGCACCGCGACGGTATAGTGTGTCTTCAAATCCGGAGAGCTTGCAGGACAAACGCTTCGTCACAGTCACTGTTGGGCAGGTGAAGTTTACGACCGGTACAGGTCGTGTTCATCGTGGACTTGCGTCAACGCGTCTTGGAGACATGGAGGTTGGTGATGCCATCCCCGGAAACGTCAAGACGATGCAGTCGAATTTCCACTTGCCTGAAGACCGCACAGCACCTATCATCATGGTGGGGCCAGGGACTGGCCTGGCACCAATGATGGGCTTCCTGCAGCAGAGAGAAGCCTTGCTGAAGAAGGGCACCAAGGTTGGCCATGCCACGCTTTTCTTCGGTTGCCGTGCCAGGGACGAAGACTATCTGTACCAGGAGGACCTTGAGGGTCGGTACTTGAAATCTGGTGCCCTCTCGACACTTCACGTCGCGTTCAGCCGGGAATCGGGGCAAAAAGTTTATGTGCAAGACAAGATCTGGGAAGAGAGGGATGCGGTCTGGAGACTTTTGCAAGATCCGAAGTGCACCGTTTTTGTCTGTGGCGATGCCCGTGCAATGGCCCCAGATGTGAAGCGTGCATTCCAGAAGGTCGTGGAAAGTGGGGGCAATAGCAGCTCTTCCGCAGCCAACATGATTGCTGCGATGGTGCAGTCAGGCAGATATGTCGAAGATGTGTGGGCATAGACAGCATAGTTCACGGCTTTGGCTTCATCTGCTTACACAGGAGTCGCTTGCATCGATGCAATTGGACTCCCACAAAGCTGGTGCTTGCTCGGTTAAGCCTGATGGCATCGATTTTAACGGCTGACAAGTGCAAGTTGAAAGCTGTTGCAAACGGATGTAAGGGAAGCTCGCTTGTGTACAGAAATCTGGAGAGCAATAGTCTCGTTTCCAGATGTGCTTCCTGCGTGACGCGAAAAAAAGTGCCCAGTCCATGGCTTCCCGGAGTGTTGAGCTTCAGCTTCGGGTGCTATCATGCTAACGCCTTGGGGTGGTAAGTGCAGGCGAAGCTTGGAGAAGATGACTCATCGAGGCGAGAACAGCCAGAGCCAAGAAACAAGCCCGGCATCAGGCTTCGGGACGCTCCAAGCCTGTGACGCTTTTCAGGCAGACGCCACCTTGCAGGTGGAGCTGGCAGAGTTGCGGAAGAAGATAACAGCGTTGGAAGCAGATCGGTTTGAACCACCCGAGCTGGAAGAGCTGCAGGTGCTGTGCAGTACTCTGGAGTCGCAGAAGCGTGGATTGGAGCAGGAAGTGAAGCGTCTGCAGGGAAGCTCTGCAGAGCTTGAAGCCCGATTGGCATCGTCTGCCACTATACAGGAAAAAATGCAGAGCCTTGTGGAGGAGAGCAGCGTCTTGGAAGAAGATCTGGCGCTGGAGAGGGCCAACCATGCCCGGCTGGCGGCAGAGGCGGAAGGAGAGCGGGCCAAAAAGGAAGAGTTGCGAAGGAGGCTGTGCGAAGTAGAGGACGAGAATGCAGCGCTTCTAAAGATGGTGGGCTCCCAGCAGGCTTCCCACTACGTGTGGATGTGTTGAGTTGGGGTATGTGGTGTTATCGATTTGCTGTTGAATTTCGTTTGTGCCTTACAAAATTTGCAGTATGGTAATGGCAGGAGTCAGGCAGGAGCGAGCGTTTGCAAAACATTGTGGGCACGCACATTAGACAAATTTACAGTATTTCTCGCTCACTCATGCAAGAGTTCATTCATCATCATGCACGAAATGCGTGCTGAACAGTCAGGCGTCAGAGAACGATGAGCGTAGAAGTCCCATTTTGGGTTGTGCATACACGCACTAACATACCGTGGATGTGGCAACTTGTCATGATCAGTTCCTACGTTTTTGTGCGAAGTCATACAATCAATCATAGTTGACATGGTTTGCGTTTGAGATCTTAAAACAGAGCCCAGCACAGCATAAGAGCCTGCACCCGTTATAGGTTGTTTATCATGTAGATGCCTCATTAAGGTGCCTGCACCATGGACAATGGATTCTTTTATCAATACCCACAACGTAACGCAATAAATCTAATGATATTGAGTTTCACCCCTGAATTCGGGAATCACTTGCAATTTAGTTCATATTTGTCTTTTACATTCTGCAGGCCCAATGTTCTAGTTTGCGCATGGCGACTCTGGCTATGACTCTAGGTATGATGGTGAAACAACAGAGACTTGGGGCTTTTCTCTTTTTCTTTGTTCAAAATATCGCATACTTGCTTGGAAGTGGTACCGACGGGGTCCGACGCGGTATGGATTAACTGCTGTTGAGATTCTGGAATGGGTCACTTCATCTTTATCAGCGCTTACTAGTCGTGTTGCTCTAGCTTGTATTTCTATTGATGGAGCCCCGCTCAGCCATGTAGGAGGCAAAAAATTGATGGAGCCGCCTCTTGTACACGCACACGCGCACACTCACACAACGGTAGACACTCGAGGGGGTAACATCTAGATCATCTATGTATACGCACACATATTTCCACGATCTCTCTCTCTCTATATGTATGTATGTATGTATATATATATATATATTTGTATGTTCATGATATTTGTATATAACTCATATGCATATCCATAGAATAAAACAGGCTCATGAGGCCTAGAGGCATAAACTTTAAACGCTCATACCCAAAGGATGAACCACGAAGCTGCAAAATGCAGTTGTGACACAGGCGAGGAGACACCGATATTAACACACGCACATGTTGCAATGACTGCCAACTTGAAGGAGCTTATAATAAGCAGATGTGGCCCAGGTGCGGGCCCCGTTGGTGATGGATTTTGTATGAGTAAACAACCAGCATGTGTGTGTGTGCGCGCATGTGTGTCTCTGTGTGTGTGTGTGTGCGAGAGGCTTTGAGGGTCCCTTAATCCCCCAAATCGAGTGCCGTGTGGAGGAGAGCAGCGTCTTGGAAGAAGAACTAGTGCTGGAGAGGGCCCGGCTGACGGCAGAGGCGGAAGAAGAGAAGGCCAAAAAGGAAGAGTTGCAAAGGAGGCTATCTGAGCTAGAGGACGAGAATGCAGCGCTTCTGAAGATGATGGGCTCTCAGCAGGTCCGGCATGCAAAGCTGTCAGGAACGTGTTTTGGTCGGGTCTGATCTCAACACGAGCCTCGAAGTTGCGCACATGTTGGTGTTGAATCCTAAAACCTGACTGGTTCTTCGTCCTAATGAGAAGTTTGTGAGTTGCATGTCAACGCTCACAGACTTGAGCCAAACTAGGCCTCGAATGGCTTTCATAAGATTCGTGCATCAGCGACAGCTGTCCTCTCCACCAAGCTGCCTACCCAACCCATTGGTGGTGCGATGAAAAGAAGAAGGTTCATGTCAATCTTGACACTTGCGATCACTCCTCTGCACACCTGCCGAGCCAAGCCACAAGGGCCAGTATTCCGTCCATGAACATGGCATGGGTCGTGCCAGCATCGGGGAGGTGCTGCATCCTTTTCATCCGTGGCCACTCCCCCTCCTCGTCCTTCTGAACCCTCACTTGTGTAGGCCGTGCGCACGGAGTGTTTTCGAGTATAAACTCGCTGTACGGTCGAAACGCACAGTCCTCTCTCCCTGTGCATTGGACGAGGCAGCTGCGCAGAAGGCAAAATGTGCAACGGAAGACGCGGCGAAGACGCTTGAGTTGGAGCGCAAGTTGTCGGAGCTCGAGGACGAAAACGCAGCGTTGCTGAAGATGATGGGCTCGCAGCAGGCCGGAGCTGAGGGCTCTTGATTTTTCCTGCTGGATGCCAGCTCAGGCTGCTGTCCGCCAAGTAGCGGTCCTGACCGCGACTTTGCTGCAACACCGTGCAGCACGGAGAGCCCAAACTACCAGCAGACAGGAAGATCGATGGAGGAAGCGCGCGCGAGAGGGAGAGAGAGAGAGTGTGTGTGTGTGTGTGTGCATTGTGTAGTGCTGACATGCTGGCCGGGACCCTGGACTCTCATCATGTCACACCAAGTTCCTCACTCATGCATGCCCTGTTCTGCAGTGGGTCATGTTACAGTTCGTAGTGTTCAGGTCTTATCGCAAGAAACTTGCGGGACTTACACTCCTTGAGGGACCCGAATCAAGTGGTTGTGTTATTCTTGTCATGGGCCAGGAACTTAGCTTGCTTTCCAAAACGGTAGACCTCACCTCGCCACAGTGAACGACCACAAACTCCTCGGAAGGTCATGCTTATCTCTATGCCGCGTTTCGTTGTGATAGCACCGGGGGATGTGATTGAAATCAAGGTGGTCCCTAGTCAGTTCTTACCTTTTGTCTTTTCTTGGTACCAAGAAGCCCCCATGCAGCACACGTATGACTATGGCAAGGCCGGGATCCGAACGCCAATGCACGGAAGCCTTCGGGTCGGGGTTCCGGCTAAAACCCCCCAGTGGTGGCTTTCGAACTTTGGGCTGCTTGCAAGTTGACGAGCATGCAAGCACATGGGGGAACCCATAGCCACGCTCCGTCCCATCCAACAACACGCCCGAGTGATGCCGTAGCCTCAGTACTTCTGCATCTCACCTCAATGTTTAATTCGTACCTTCAGGGGGGCATTCGTTCTTTTCCTCGCACCTTCAAAGTGCTGTGCCCGCAGCAGACGTAAGAACTGCAGGGCCGGTAGTTCAGGCATGTTTTTCCCTCCTGATGCCATGTTTTCTGAAAACTGCACCTGCTCACGGGGGCAGACCAAGCCTTTCGTGTTGGACAGCCCAGCACACCCTGGGACAGCAGAGCCCCCTCTGTCAACATGATGGATGGGGAAGCGCCTGGAGCGTGAAGCGGCAGGCCTGCTGGTGCCTGTTACCCCGAGAAAAGCAAAGAGAGGGAACCAGAGAATGTCCCTGCATGTTCAGAGCTGGAAACGCCCAGGGAGTGAAAGAAAACGGAGAGAGCGGAAGATGACCCCAGTCCTGCCCTCACAGCCCTAGTCCAGGTAGGCGCGCCACTGGATTCGGAGAGGGGTGAGGGCCTGGCAAGCATGGAAGCCCAAAACAGAATCAGAGAGAATCTGCGAAAGCAAGCATATAGAGAGTAAAGCCAGCAATCAAGCAAGCAAGCGAGAGCGAACTCGTGAAGCATTGTATGCTCTTACATTACGGCGTGTGTGCTAGGGCGGTGTTTCATTTACTTCTCCAGAGCTGCTCGCGCCAGATTCTCGATTTTTGGATTGCGCGTGGGAGGAAGAGAGACCCCATATGACTTGGGCTGCACGGGCTCAGTGCAGCCACTCAGACGGGGTGGTGCAGAGCAGCTCTAGCTGAACGCAAGTGCTCGCATCGCAGTGCCGTCGTGATAGTCAAGTCTGGCCGCACACGCAAGTGCGGGGGTTTGGAAGCGACATCCAATGCGCTACGCTTGGCTTTGCAGAGGCCAAGTGTTGCTCCCGGGAGGCCTCGCTGGAGTCCTATTGTTGTGCACGGGCGTTTGTTCTGTGCCTTTCGCTCAAGCACCCAGCAAAGACGAGCGTGAGCGAAGCATGTGCGAGGGTCGCAAGAGACATTGCAGCATTGAAGGGAAGGACGATGCTGGTAGCGTTTGGAGCAGCTTTCTCTGCGTAGTTCTGCTTGCTCAGGCCCAGATAGAGGAGCTAAAGAGCCAAAAGCAGCAACAGCTTCCAGCATAGTTTCAGAAAGTTTTTGCAGCTTCTGGAGTCGCGGGGTGCAGTAGAGGGGTCGTTTGCTCGTGTGCGAACTAAGGTTCGAGGCCCAGCTCTCAGACCACTGCATTCAACCGCGCCAGACCATGCTCCTTTCCTTTGATGTTCAGGCAGCCTCGGATGATCTTGCTGAGCAATTAGCTGCAAAGGCAATCCTCGAAGCTGAGGCGTGGCCGGAGCTGCGTTAGACTGCTTTTTGAACGAATTCGCATGATGCCCCATGTGAGGACGAGCTGCGAGACAAGGCAGGTGCAACTTCGAGACACCACGTCAGATGCTGAAGCAGTACCTCTGGTGCAATGTGTATGCGAGGTGCCAGCTGATCCTACAGATGAGGCAGCGGCAGATGTGTTTGCGCTTCCCCCTGAAAGAGTTCTGGCATGTTCTCTTATAGGCACGCAGCTTCCATGAGATTGCCTGAAGGTTAATCATATTAAACATACTGAACTTCTGTAGGCTCAGACATTCAGGCGATTGCACAAGTCCTGATGCAAAAAATCATATTAAACCATGCAAGATATGCAAGAGGCAAGACACCACGAAAGCATACCAAAGGTATAAAAGTCGACCAAGACATGTAGAGTGGGGAAGGCCTAGCAAATTGAAGGCGTAACCCCAAGCCCCCTGAGAAGAGCTGCTCCCCAAAAGGAAAGGACATGTTGCGATACGTGAGGAAGCTTTTTTTTCTGCATTCGGAGTGATGTGTGGGCTTTCACAGGCCTTCGAACTCCAAGCGCTTCAGGCGCTGGTGAACAGACTTCAGACCGAGCGGGACTATCTTGCGCCATGGCGCATTGATTGCGGTAGGAAATAGACCCTAGGCCCTAAGCACATTGCCGGCATTAAGTCGATGGAGGAGAAGCTCGAACACAACTGGAGCACGCTGGTGAGGGGCAACTGAGGTCCAGAAGGACCGGAGCCAGCAGGCTGAGCTTGAGGAGCTGCGTGGACAGGCCGCCTGCAAGTCACAACTCAGATGCGACAAGAATATTAGTATTCTTAGTTGTTATAATAATAGTAATAATAATTGTAAAAACTATATATGATAAGAATATCCTGCCTTGGCCTCTTAGCCGCTTGTGAGAGCCACCCTTGCGCCGGATCCGCGGCCGGCACACCAAAACCAAGACCGGAGGTTGTACAAGAGTCTTTAAGACGGGCCATGACAGGCCGAACAAATGTTACATTTACAATGGTGGCCAAACCTGAAGCTTAGAAACTCGTCGATGGCCAGGTCTCGGTGAAGCTTCAAGACGACGTGATGGAGTCGGAGTGGAAGTCTAGGTGCGAGCGCTTGGAGGTACAGATCAAAGCTGTGCCTCAGCACTTTATGGCCGACTTCCGAGAACATGCTTAATAAGTCTAAGCTTTGGTGTGAGGCAGACGCTGATATGGCGAAGCTTCGGCAGCAAGTGGCGCTGCAAGCCAGCAGGGAAAGGAATGTGGAGGACTCTCTCCGCTTCGCGGGAATCTCTTCCAGTCAGGTGCGGTCAGGCCTACTGCAACTCAAAGCTTGCTGCTCTGCAGGAGCAGGTTCCGGATCTCAGGTCGCCGCCGGAGGCTGGCACGTTCGGTGTACACAGAAGAGAGCGTGTGGGAAAGCACCGCTTTGGCGAGGAGGGCGGGCGATATGAGGCAGGAGGTCAGACTTGCAAAGACACGAGCCTGGCAGAACCACCGGAGCTTCTGGGATTGCTTGGTTTAAGGTCACAGGCTGTAGGGATGTGTTGCTCGCGGTTGCATGCAGCCCGTGCTGTCGGAAACCCGTCCGGTGCAGTTTCGATCCATGTCTGTTTGATGCTTCAGGCATGGGCTTTTGGGCCTTAAGCCTGCGCTGTTGTCTGAGGTTGCTCGCTCTTGCTCCAAAGCAGCAACAAGCGGAGACGACGTCACCAAACGTAGAATTCCAGGGACGAGCTAGACTCCAGCCGTTTTCTAACCTCCATGGTTTGGAAACGTCGGTCATTGCCATGATATTCCCTGTTTAACGTGCCAGTCCATACTCCTTGGGTGATCAAGGACAGTCCTGGTGTTTATGCTTCTTGGCACAACTGCAGCCTTCTGTCCGTTTGCCATCCTTCTCATTCTCAGTCTTGTAGAAGGGAAGAGCATATCTCAAAGATGCTGACGCAGACGCGGAGGTGGTATCACAGACTGTGGCTCTCACCGTTGGTCCCGAGAAATCTTCAGCCAAGCTGCAAAACCTCAACGCTCCGAAGCTGCATGTTGGTATGCAGCTTAATTTTCATGCTACTCACACGGGTCACACTGCCAGCAAGGCAGTGCCAGCGCGGGGTGGGAGCGGGCAGGGATCGCGGGCGAAGATGGGTTTGTGCAGGTTGGGACAGCTGTCCAAGTCCTCGAGGTTGTGCACCAGTACCGGCCTCAGGCCATCTGGTGCGGGCGAATGGAAATCAGTGCAAACCCAGGCAGGAAGACAAAAGAGTTCGTGGGAGGCCAGCTGCTGATCGGAGCCCTTTGTGGCCGTTGTAGCTGTCTCCGGTGCAGGGTTGAAGACCCAGCCGGGTGGATCTCCATCGTTGGCACGGAGGACAGGACTGCACAGCGATCGTAGAGGCCATGAAGTAACTACATGCGAGGCTCAAAGGCTGTAGCACGCCGGCTTTTGCCTTACATTGCCCGTACCCGAGCAGCAGTTTTGCCCGGCGAGGTGTGTTGAGTTTTACTGGCCCCCCCCCCCCTGTGCATGGAGTTTCTGCTGCCTTCAAGCTGACGTTGTGATGAAGCTGTACGCCAAGGGTCTGGCGTTTGCCGGGTGAAGCGCATAATGCTGGCTGTGTATTTTGTCGTGTTCCCCTGTTTGGCCGGTGTTACTCGGAAGCGCTCAGCGTCCGCACTTGATCTCTGCATCCCACTGGCTGTCACTCACAGACAGCATCAATGTCTCTCCCGCCCTCGGGCTTTGTCAGGATTCCAACCGCTGGGCCTCGAGGGACCTGCAGCGCAGCAACCGCTCCGCATCTTTGCGAAGTGAGCAGTTGCTGTCACTTCAGAGAGAGCTGGATGCCTTGGAGACGGCCATGGAGGAAGCCAAAAGTGCTGCCACAAAGGAGGCCCAAAAGAGCAAAGAGGAAGAAGAGAGCTTCAGGGCCGCCGCAGCGGAAGACCTCAGCCGCTGCGAGCAGCAGCTGCGCGAGAAGAGCGAGCGATGTCGGAACCTCGAGCTTGAGCTCAAGCAGGCCCGGGGCCCGCCCGGAGGGAACTTCGCCGAAAGCAGCTTCTACGGTCGCAAACCTTCCCCAACAAGTGCATGCTTGGCTGTGAAAGCCTTGCTGCTTCGTGCCGGTTAGTGCGTAGGCGTAAGCCATCTTGAGATGACTCCATTGAACTCTTTCAGTTGCACTGCGCGCCAGTGCGCTGTTGTGTCGGGTCTTCGCAGGCATCGTTGCAGCTGGATGGGCCTGGCGTTTATTTGCTCGCCAGTGATGTCGACGTCTCCGAGGCGCTTGCTCGGAGCTCCCAGAAGCTGGGCCGGCTGCTGGCCGGCGAGGAGGTCCACGTCTTGGAGGTGGTGCACCGTAAAGCAGAAAAGCGAGTCCGAGGTCGAGTAGCAGCCAAGGGCCACAGTGGCTGGATCTCGCTTATGGATACGTCTGAGGGCTATCGCTGGGCACACCGGCAGCTGTCAGCCACGAACGAGTGGATCAGCTTCTGGGCATGATTCATTCTAGATGCATGGGGTATGGTCCCGGCACGGCGTCAGATGCTCGGACTTTGCCGCGTCGCCGAGGTGAGTTGCTCGAGAAAAGCGCGCCCCTGGCTTGCGAGACGGAGCTCCGGGCTCGGTGCGCGGCCCTGGAGGCTGACGGAGACATGAGAAGCACCGTGAACTCATGTGGAGGGTAAACTCTAAGTCTATGTGTCTATGTGTGTTCCACGACCACGGCCCTTGAGCTTGCATCACCTGGGCTCCAGAATTGAAACTGATGAGCTGGGTAGAGGGCATGTACTGGCAGCAAACATCACAACGGTCACAGCCGGAGTCGCCGCAACTCCAGCTTTGCGAGTTCCCCTCGTAAGGTTCATGGTTTAGTGTCGTGTTGTTTAACCATGGAAAAAATCGTTTGAATCGTCTCGCAGAGAAAAGCTCAACTCTGTCTGTGAGCTGAGTCGCGGATCGGTCTGTTGTCTCGATGCCATCGGCCAACCAAAATCGCTGTCCGACTCTATCTGACCACAGCCCCAGCTTCAAAGTTCAACCGCGCAAAGAAGGCGACCCAGACCTGTGTGCTTGGCATGCAGAATCTGGCAAGGAATGCCGACAACACAAACAAGAGAGTGATGAAGCGATGAAGCTACGCAGTGAGTGAGTGCTCCGATAGTGCTCTGATGCCCTGTGCATTTTCATGGTGTGTTCCGGCTCAACATGGCGATTCAGCAAGCGGCTATCTTCAGAGCATGCCGGAGTGCCCAAAAGAAGCCCCGTGGCTTTGGATTCTCAGATCTCGCCCCACCGCATAGCCGGTTATAATTCTGCACAGTTCAGCGATCTCAGCCTTTCCTCTGACCGCCTTTCCTCTCGTGATGCTATGTGCTGGACTCGGGCTCGGGGGCGACTCCCCGAAGAAGGGGCTCTCGGACCCCTTTGAGCTGAGGAGGCCAGGGCAGCTCCGGGCTCTGCGGCTTCGGATTCTGCGGATTTCTGCGTCCCGGCTCAGGTTGATCGACGAGTGCACCAGGGACAGGCTCAGGCACCTTGGAACTGCGACTCACAGAAAGGCGACCCCATGTATATAGAGAGAGTCGCGAGGGACCTGGAGCAGCGCCTGGAGACTGTGGAGAAGCGCTTGCACAACGTTGTCTTCAATGCAAAGGCTGAGTTGGAGGAAGGCCCTCGCCCCAGATCCCTGAGTCTCCACTGCTTGTGAGATGCAGAAGCCGACGCATCTTTGCCAGGCTTGCAGATCCAGGGTGTCACGACGGCATCGGCCCTTCGGACAGCACTGTCTCTCTTTGTTTCTGACTACGTGGTAAAGGCCCATAGCCGCATCTTCACTGGACTCGTTTATGGAGGTATCATCCAGGGACTGGGACTCCAGTTGAAGGTTTTCTTTGTAAGATCTTGGGACATGTCATGTAAATGTAAGCTGTAGGCCCTTTTGGGCTCGATACTTCTCTGGCTCTACCGCAGGCACCCGTGCGACTGCCATTCAGACACGAGCCGTTGGAAATCTCCACAGCGCCGGACGACGATCGAGATGCAGCCCAGCCACTGCCCAAAGATCGGCAGAACAATGCTGAGTACCGTTTCGACGCCTGTGTTTGGGATTCCTGCGTCCTTGTGGGTTTGGGAATCCTGTCTTGGCAAGAGTCGTTGGCAGTTGCTTTTTGTGGATTGTGGTCTATTTTGGTAGAGGGCTTCTTCGTCTTGATTCTTTACGACAACATGACCGAAACGGTCTTCGAGACCTCGCTTGCCGAAGAAATGCGGGACTGGCGCATTCACTTTGGCCCGGGCCCCAACATGTGCACGGCGAGCAGATGAGTGCAGGCTGTGAGTCGCGCGAATAGCTGCCTAGCCGAGGCCAGAACATCAACTACATAGATGCCATCACGGGCCAGCCGTTGATCATGGGTGTATGCAGCATGTCGAACTCCTTAATGAACGGGAATGTGCAAGCGGAGATTTACGAAACAATGTTCAAGTACGGCATCCGCGAGACCGGCAACCAAGATCTCCGCTGGCCCTTGCTTCCTGTTGGAGCATGGTTAGCTCTTATCGCTTTGCTAGTTTGGATCTTCACAGTGCTCAAGGAAATGAGTTGTGCATGTGGTTTCGGCGTCGCTGTGGCCTCTTTGCCGCGGAGTTCGAGTGTCGCAGACGCGGTCTCGAATCGAAAGCGGCTGTCCGTTGTCAGCTTGCATCGCGTCGTGGTTCTTGTCGTCTTCAACATGCTTCCCAGATTGAGCATCGCCCTAGCCTCCACCTCAGTCCACCGTCAGAGCTCTCAGCAAATTGAGCTTTCCACGTGCGAGCATGGAGTCATATGGTCATGGTTGGGACCCGAGGTCCTCGGCATAATTGGAGTCCACTTTCTGGCAAGCACCACATCTCTTTCTGATCTGATTTTGCTGCTTGGCGGCGGCTGGTAGTGAACTAGGTGTGGACATGTTCAGCTGGCCTCGGAGGGATTTCTTGACGTGCACCCTGCAGGAACGCGGTGGCCCTGGAAGTAGTTCTTTGCATCGACGACCTCTTCTTCGCAGTGCTTGTTCCGCGCCGCGTGCACGAGACGATCAAGTCGTTGAAGCCAATTCCAGCGGCTTGATGGATTTCAGAACCTCTGAGTCGACTCTGAGTGGTTCGTACTCTGCTGTGCAGGTGAAGCTCTGGCGACCCTGGGTTCTACAAGCACGGCAAGCTTTCATATTCACGCTGTCGCTAGCCTGCTTGGTGGGGTCGCATGTCCTCTGCTTGCAGCCGCTGGTCAACAACATGCAAGCTACGGCGGATGCCATGTGTTCTGGGGTTACCAACTTTACGTACTTCCAAGATGCAGCGGGGCTGGCTTACATTCTCGACGACAGCCTCGATGCTCTGCCTAAGAAGTCTGATGAAGGCTACGCCTACCGGGCAGTGCTGCAAGCCACTCAGCTAGAGGACGTGCAGCCTCCCGGCTTGGGGGCACAGCTCCTCAATCGGGAGCTCTTTGGTCTGGCCATGCAGTTGAAAAGTTTGGGTTTCGAGGAACGCAGCGAGTTTTGGCCTTTGTGCCAAGACTTGGACAGTCCCGTTTATGCAGGCTTCGGATTGGTGAACTTGGGCACGGCAGCAATGGAGAAGCTGCGGGAGTTACTTCCGGAAGCCACTGCAATAGAGTCTTTGCAGTCTTGTCCTTCTGTGCAGTCATTCTGCTTCAATGGCAGCTTGCATCTCGAGACATTATGGCGGTTACGCGCCCTTTGCCCTGTCACCTGTGGATGCAACGACTTGAAGTCCGGGAGCTTCATTGCCAGCCTGCCTTCCTTCGGCTGCCCTTCGGTCTGCAGGACGCTCTTTGACGAGAGTGTAACAGAACTTTCAACCTGCTCGGATGCACCGACGAACAGCGAGGCTCTAAAGACCTTCCTACATGGCCTGCGGCAGCGGAAGGGGATCATCTTCCGAAGCAACTCCACGACCTGCGAAGCTTTCGCAACTCCCGTGAACATCGACGGGACCGATTTCGATTTTTGTGTGCAGACGGCAGAGCTTGGCAAAATGGGGTTCCAGTCATCTCAGCTGCTTTGTCCAGCGACTTGTGGCTGCAGGCACAAGCCGCGTCCTGAATGCCCAGCAGCTTGCCTCGCAAAGACACTGTGAGAAGAGACTTGCAGTTCGTTGTGGAGTGGCTTCTTTCAGTGACTGCGGAAGCATAATTCGGTTTTGCGCGCAGATTTTCCTCCAGTGTCGCGCATGCTGCGACACTTGTTTGAGGAGCAATGTTCACATCAAAATTCAGGGCAGCTGCATGTGACGACCGAGTCGATTGGAGCCGCAGTCAGCCTAATTAGTTCGCCTGCGCATGTGCAACTCAAACGAGGCACGTGCAAGGCAGTACTTGCACTTGCTTAGCTGCTTAGCCGCTTGACTGAACTCCAGGATTCCACACTCATCTGACTAGGTAACTCCCGAAGTTTGGAGGGAACGTGTCCGCCTTCTGTCTCCTGGCTGCGAAAAATGCTGTCGGGGAGCCTGCTAGAAGAGCAGAGGCTCTTGCTCTTTCCGGAGTGCGAAAAGAATTCGGGGCGTATGTCGTTGCACTCTGTCTCGGAGCTCGCTTGCCCCGCCTCGTTGCTCGCACGAGGCGCACCGCGACTCTATCCTATTGGAGTTGCCCGGACATGTTTGGAGATGCATATAAATCTCTGAAACTTTATATCACGGTCCGATATGTTTTTAAGGCTGGAGCAATTGCAGACCGTCGGCGCGATGAACAGCTCCCATGAGCACGGCGGACCAGGCTGCCGTTGGTTCTGAGAGGCGTTGAAGCTTTAGGATCTTGCCTTGGCAGTTCATTGTCGTGCGGTAAGGTGGGTAATATCACACCTTGAAAGACAGGGAAGTCAAAAGCCATCGAAACGCGTTGACTTGCATTGCAAAGGCGGTTGCCAGTCGGAACATATCCAACATGGGAGTGGGTAGCATTCTGAAAGGTCTGCCGCATGCGAAGCAAGCAGCTCTTGATCTTCGTGGGGTTAGGTTCGGACTGACTCCTACCAGTACCAAATCTTCTCAGGACATCCGACTGGCATGGACAACAGTGCCTCCGAGCTTCAGGCGCACTAGCAACTACGGGACTAGAAACTGCCAATCCATGTCACTTCTTACTTCGAGGACCTTCGCGCAAATGTCATGGTCCTAGAGGCTGGTCGCGACGAGCTGGAGCTGCAGGCTTGGCGCTGAAAAGCTCAGTGCAGCAAAGCTGATCGCATGATGTCGCATGTCAGGCCGAGTTGTTGCGAACAAAGTACCAGACCCTGGAGGCGGAGTACCAGGAGTTTTGCTTGCCTTGGAAGGGTGCAATCTGATGTGTTTTGCATGTGTGTGTGTGTGTCATCCTTGCGCAAAAAAACAACTTGCAGCCAGCAAAATAAAGAAGCAGCAGGGGCGTGACGTTCTTGCTCCTCGTTACGCTACCAAAGCTCTGGAGCTGGATTGGATGGAGTCATGGAAGAATGACTCTGTACCCACAAAAAGTAATGATGCGCCATGGGCAGGGGATCGTAGCTTGGGCATCTATATCTACTTGTATCGTTCCTGAAGATCAGGTTTTCAGGCAGTGATGGAGCGCACGTGGCAGGTACATGTCGGATCAGTGAAGGTTTCATGTTGAACCAGGTCGCATGTGCAGTTGAGATTCTGCCGAGATCATTCCGTAGCTTGCTTGTTCGTGCTGACATGTTTTTAACCGGCCTTGAGTCCTTTCACGAAGAAATAAATGACGGCAAGAAGGAGAAGCGATCAAAGACACAACAGACAATCAAAGAGTAATGAACGAGAGCCACGATACCGGTGACATTTTGATCCGGAGTACTAGTATGATTTGCAAGTGCGTGTTTGTGAGTGAGTGTGTGCGCGTGCGCCTGCGGGGTGTGTGGTCTGTGTGTGTGTGTGTGCGTGCAAGTGAGTTTGTCTGTGTGTGGGGTGTGGGGTGTGTGTGTGTGTGTGTGTGTGTGTGTCGGTGTCGGTGTGTGTGCGTGTGTGTATACAACGAGCGCTAGACAGCAGCAGTTCGACGAGCAGACTTGTTGGGGCAGGGTTATGTGAATGTGGCTAAGTGACAATGTCTCGGTGTTGCGCCCAGGTCTGGCTGCATTTGATCGGTGGTCGACGCATCGCTTTTTTGCCACTCTCGTCAAACTTCCAGTTCCTGTGTCGCGCTGTACTGATTGAGAGAGTGCACGCCAACAGAGTATAGATCCAACGGATTCGGCCCATTCGGGTTTGTGTTGAGAGCGCCAGGACTCTCGCCGAGCCTGGGTTTTCTGGGGTTGTCTTCGGGGCACTGACTCGTTTCCGTACTGGCATGATGCTTGGATTCTTGGGCCTGCATGAGTTGTGAGCACGTGAGGGGTGAGCTTTCTTAAGCGCAGTCTCCGAAGCGTGAAGAAAGTTTTCGTTCGTGGTGTTGTTTGCAGGTTCCCGCTTACAATACGTTTGGGAGGCATCGAACAAACGGGTTTGCCTGTCCGACATTCGCGGCAAGAACCGGGTGAGACTACACTGGAGAGCAAGAGGTAGAGACAGGCCAGGTGGCTTAGGCTCATTGGCGGAGCTGCGCTGAGTTTATACCGAGGGTGGGGACTGAGGGCCCCAACAAAACGTGGGCGAACAAGCCTTTTGGTGGGCCCGTGGGTCTTTTCCTGTCGAAGATGGGGGTTGCCCGCGGCTTGTTCTGTGGAGCCAAGAGGCCGAGCGAGGGTTCTTCTCCTTCCCCAGGAGCTCCAAGAGTACTCTGCCGCCTTGCGCAGCGACTCCGCCGCTGCTCGGGGCCGTGCACTGCAGGATGGCTCCGAAGCACATGCTCAGCATGCCAGCAGTGTGGCCCAGCATATACGGCTGCAAGCGTTGATGTCCGTGGAGGCAGAAGAGCTGCGCAGACAAGTTGAGCGGCACGTGAAGGAGCGAGGAATGCTAGAGGCAGAGTTAGCCAGGCGGATCCTGTGCCGTAGTGCATGTGGTCAGCCAATCATCTTTGATCGCCTTGTTGCAGGCTCCGTGCCGAAGTCCGTGCCTTGGTTGCCGAGGTGCAGGATCTGCGGACAGCGCCTGCCGGGTCTCCACTAGCCATGGCAGAGAAGTGGGCAGGCGACTGAGCAAGCTTCTGTCAAAAGATTACTTCGGGTTCCGATGCACAGCCAAGGTCCTGTATGCCGAAGTCCCCGAGTTGGAGACCTCCAGCTCGAGCCTTACATAGCCTTAGCTGTGTGGAGAGCCTGACCGCCGGTCTGAAGAAGCAGGTGCCGCGAAAGTTGAATGCTTGTCTGGCCAAGCCTGTCGCAGGTATCACGTATATGGGCAAGGTTGTCGTTGATTTCGATGAGGCCACTGGTCGATATTCAGGGATCAAGTGCTCTCATGCATTGCATACGGTCAAGGAACACCAGCTAAGGAGCTCAAAGGACCTTTGGGTCCTCTGGCCGCTGTAAACTGCAATCAGTGTGCCTCTGCCACCTCAGCCTTCCATCGTGGTGATGCCTCCCGGGTCGCCCTGAACGCTTACTGCAAGGCTGATCCTGAGTCGCAAGGCTACTTGGAGCAGGATGGAGTCCATACATTTCTTGAAGCGGTCTTTCAGCACCATGGGTTGACTCCGCCGCTGAAAGCTCATGTTGATGCTATGTACCATCGCTTCTGTCCAAAGGAGGACAGGCTGGAAGCCCTCGCGTGCTTGTGCCTGGCAGATGCCATGCTAAGATCAGTGTTGCGCATGCACACGAAGCCCGCATCGGTGTCTTCACGGACCATGCCGAGCACGCAAGACGTTTCTCATCTGCAGACTGCTGGAGCAGCTCCACTCCCCTATCCGCAGGCGGCCACGACATGCCCGGCATGTGGTGAGCCCTGTGAGGCGGATCAAAAATTCTGCATGTCATGCGGCACAAGGCTGCCGACGACCGTCTCATCACAAGTGGTAGATCTTCCAACTCGGGGCGCCGCGGATGGTCAGCGCCGGGCTCCAGCGCTGTCGGCCGCATTGCCTGCAAGACAGCTTCAGCCGCCACCCGTGGCCGTCAGAGGGGGAGGAGCTGTTGCCGGCGGCACCGTCCTGGATCCATCAAGGATCAAACGTGCCGTTGTGGGCAACTCTACAGGAATGTTGGCATCCAGCATGCCCAACGTTCGCTCACCGTCTGGCAGAAATAAGGGCACTGGTCGAGTTGTGTTTGCCACTTCATCTTGATGGTCTGACTGGTGCATCTCATCCACGGATTGAAGTACAGACCTACGCGGCTTGAAGTGCAGACGACACGACTCTTCAGCTGCGCAGGCCGATTCGCGGCGGAATGTGTTGCTGCAGCAAATGCCAAAGCTTGATGTTGTCTTGGTGAAAGAAAGCATGGCGGCATGGCGTTTGGTTTTTGGCTTCGGGCTTCGGAGTGGGCTTAGATCAGGTTTCGTTTCCATTGCCGGGTTCAGTCTGTCCAGTTCTGGGAAGTTGGCGGAGGCCATCCATTCTTTAAACGCGGGATCGTCTTCTATACTGTAAGAGTTTCTGTCACGACTCCAAAGGGTGCGTGCAAAGACCACAACCAAAACATCCCGGCTTGTAGGAATGAAGCTGTATCTTTGTCCGATGGCACCCTGTTTGAACGGCATAATCTTTGCTGTGAGATGCTGGCATCGTGGATGAGATCTTTCGAGATGTGCCCGAGCTTGATTGAAGCAAAATGGCAGCTAGCATTGCCAGCTCGGGATTTTTCAACACATCTAATTAACCAAAATTGTCCAGCCACCTTGCCGCATCGTCCTCCGCTGCTCTGAAAGCCTCAAATGACTTTGACAATGGGCGCGCTACCGGCTGTGGGGTGTGATGGGCAAGCGTGGCCAGAATCCTCTCTGCAAGCTGTGTGACCTTGTGTAAAGCTTCTGGTGTGCATATGTCGGTCTTTGACCTTGAATTCCGGAAGGGGAACGCAGAGTACTGCACTGCCATGCCCAGGAAGCGTGCTCTGGATAGCGGGGAGGAGGTTCCTCTTCGAATCTTGACTGCAGAAGAAGCGGAGTCAGTGAAGCAGACGGATCCGTGAAGCAGAGGAAACCATTGCACGATTCAGCTGAGCTGAGGCAGTGACGAGCTCCGGCCGCCAGATGAGCTGCCCGAGCGCGAGGCAGCAGCAGTGCGTGCCGCGCTGGAGCGCTGGAGGGAGCTCAGGCCAGGGCGTGACAAGCAAGTTCTTGAGCTTCTCAGTTGAGATTTGCGTCCGTCAGGCAGCGAGTGGAGGTTCTGAGACCGATGCTAGAGCATGAGGACTCTCATTTCGTGGAAAGGCCTTGCTTCGTTCCAGAAAAAACTTCCGACTGGGCCCTGGTGCAGGATCGCCTTATGCAGGACATCCTAGATAGAGGTCTCGGGAGCGAGGACCGGAAGACACTGCGGAAGCTTGCCAGTGTTGGCGCTTTGGCCGGAATACGTCCAACTCGTGGACTTGTTTGGGATTGCCACCCTGCAGCTACAGGTGCCCGCGATGCAGAAGCAGAAGCTGCACAGGCTGGGTGTCAAGTCTTTTCACATTAGAAAGTTGCCTGACCGCGTACATTAGAAAGTTGCCTGACCGCGTGGTCTGCACAAAACAGCTTGCACTGGCAGGTTGCAGACTCTGTCGCGCGGCAGATGTTGAAACCACTGCTTTTCAGGGGTGGTCACTGACTGTACGGACGCTTGCACGATCCACGTCGCCGAAAGCGAAAGCAGCGAAGCTAAGGTGGGGCAGGAACGGCATCGGTTGCAAGAAATTCTCATGCAAAATCATCGAGAGCTGCTTGAGCTGTCGACGACCACCACGCCAGATGACAAGAAGGATGCTGCATATGATGTACTGTAGGAGAACAGGCGAGGCCCTCACCGAATTGTCGGAATGTATCGGGCTTTGTTCGGAGGAGCTCATCTCAGAGATGGACAGCGTGCTGGATGAGCTCAAGAAAGCACAGGATGCGGTGCACGTGGAGCTCTTAGCAACCAAGGTGGCTTGGCCGCAGCGATCTTTTTCGCAACGGTATGTTTCGAATACGGCTGAAAGAAGCGCGAGTCGAGAGAGGGAGTGTAGTTGTATTGTTAAGCTCCCCAGGGGAGTTGCCCTTTCTGGTAGTGGCTGCTTCCGGGAACTTGCTAGGTCAGCATCTTTCCGAGACACGTCCCAATAACTTTAACTTCTTCCCTGGAGCCAGGGAGTGGAGGTTTGCAAAAGAAAAGCGGGAGAGAAAGAGAGAGAGAGAGAGAGAGAGCGTGCCAAGCACCGTCGTCTACGACAGCAAAACCAGTGGCGGGGAAGATGAGCAGTTCACGCCCAACAACCATGCCGTGAAGACTGAGAGCTAAGTAAGTGCGGGGGAAAATTCACAGTGCATTGCAAGGGCTGCGGGGGATTGCTTGGTGTGCTTTGTTCTTGTTCGGGGGGTTTTCTTTGTAAGGTCGTGACTTCGGTGTGCACTGCAAAGCAGTTTGCAGAGCAGCCCCCTGCGGCCCCCAACAACAGTGCCAGCAATCTGACATACATGATCCTTTTGCGAAATCCAGGGGGACTGTACTCTAGCCTGCCCCGGCAGATGACATCGCAAACCCTTTTATTTCTTCTAGGTATGTTGCCGACCTGCAACGCCTGGACCTTAATTCTTTGAGGCCTTTGGCCACCCGCTCTTCCAACCGCCTGCCATACGCGCTGATAATTAACATGTACGCCTTTTCTGTTTGCGGGGAGTCACGAAACGGGGAATGGCGTACTTGTTTGGTTTCCTGACTCTTCTTTCGGCTGAAGCCCCGCGCTCAGTGATACCATAGATTTGTAGAGATCGCTGACTTGACTTGTAAAGGTTCCATAATTGTAAGGGGGAAACCTCTGACCCANNTTCACAGGTGCAAATTCATGACCATGAGGGGGAGGGATGCCACTTACCCTTTTGCCCTTCATGTATTCTTCGCATTTCGTGTTTGCAAATGGCAAAGATGGCATCCTAGTGCATGTTTTTGCTGAGAGCATACGCTGTTCGTGTCTTCATTATCGTATTCTTTATGGCTTTAGCCCATCGATCAGCTATGCTCGACTTTCACTCCCCGTGGCCCAACACAAAGTTGGGTGGGCCTGGCGCCCGGGGATGCTGACCCGTCCCCATGCCGCCGAGAGAGAAAGAGAGAGAGAGAGAGAGAGAGAAAGTGAGTCTCCCCCTGCACCACAGCCCTGGCGAAAGAAAGAAAGAGAAAGTGAGTAGCCAATATGTGTTTGGTCCTTGATGCTGTTTGTCTCGACTTGTACTTGGGGGACGCCACAATTTAAGTTTCTTGTCAATTTTTCAAGACGGGCCGCTGGAGCTATTAACGCGGACTACCAAATTAGACAACCGTCTACCCCGCTACTTCGGGGGGGACCATGCATACTCCAAAGTGTTTCCAGAACCGGGGAATGGACTGACCCGCTTCTGTTATGTATTGTTCGTCAACTCAGCCATTTCCTGAAACGGGGGAGTTGACCATAATTCGACTATTCACTTCGCTGTCCTGTTATCCAAAGCCTTGGATAGCAAACGGGGCGGCCTAGAGCCCGGAGGGCTTTAACAACCTTCTATGCTCGAAGGAAGAAGGAAGAAGAGAGAGGAGCCATTTTGGCTCAAGCCTCGCAAAAGGGACCCGCCCCCCTCACCCTGGGCCCTCCGGGGCTTGATCCACGTGCCGATGCCGTTTCTCAACGAGATGCCCCCCTTGCCTCCTTCTTCAAGTTCCCGCGTTTCTAGGCCATGGGGACATGAAGGCCACATGGCAAAAGCAACGTGGTAAGAAACTTGTTTGTTGCTCCAAGTCGCTTCAGCTCAGTCAGTCTGACGGTGTGAACTACCCGTGACCTAGCCTGTCGAGAGGGGGCTTGCGTAGCCGGCTAACTGCCCGGGCATTGAACGATTCCACCAGAAGCGGCCCTTGCGGGGCTGCCCCAGGCTGTTTCGAAACAGGCGCGGGATTAATTAAAGCATTCTTGGTAAACTGACGGCTGTCAGAAGCAACGCTTGGCATCAAAGCGAGCACCGTGCAGATCGCGTCGATCTGGGGCCACCCAATCGTGCTGGTTGAAAACCCTGACCTGCGACAAGGGCAGAAGCTCCCGTTTTGGAGACACGTCGTCGGTGTGCTCATGCGTTTTTGATGCGGACCCCCTGAGCTAGAACGACGAGCCCATCTGAGAGTCGTGTTGCAAGCGTGTCGGGTATAGGGGTCTTCCCCCAGTAGCTTGGTTTCACAGTTGGGCTTGGGTGTTCCTGGAGATGGGTAGCCAAGCTGCAGTGCACAGCGTAAAGGTGTTACTTTGAACACTACGTCGTCCGCCTCGGCTCGGCTGTACTTGAAGCAGGTGCATTGTGTCGGAAACCAACAAGTAGGTCACACAAGAATTTTTCATTGTCGGTTTGTTTTTTGGCAGAATAATCGTATCATGCTTCTCACTTGTCTCGTATACAACCTGAGTCAGCACCTGTTTCATCAACCGTCTGTTTTGCCGTGGCGGATGGATGCGTCTGCGTTGAAGTTGTATTTAGCTTGTCGCGTTCTCCCTACGGTCGCCGACTGGCACGTTAATTGTTTGTGGTTGGGGACAGGAAAACTAACAAACGAAATTCAGAGTTGAGCATGCCTAAACATAAACTGTATGTAGACCAGAAGGAGCGCAATAGTTTAGTTGTTGCACACAGAAGTGTTTTCTTCACCATGCGTTGTGTATTCCAGCGCGAAGCGCAAGCGAACTTTTCCTGCCCGCAACACGTCTCATCGATTGGCCAAAGCGTCCTTGCAAGAGCAAAGCTTTGCTTCGGTTCCTGTTGCTGTTATGTTTATACATGAGTCAACACGAAGCGTAACAGTAGAAAGCTAGCTTTTATGCTTTCGGGTCCGAAAGGATCCATCATGTCCGTCAATCAGGTCCATGAAACCTGTCATCATATCATATGTTCGGAAATCTTCTCGTCAATGGTTTTTACATCAGCAACCCGAGACGTGCAAACGGGGGCGTGGGCCTTGTTTTTCACAGGCTGCGAAAGCCTCACTCGTGCACGATATCTTGATTTGTGATCGTCTATGACGTCATGTTGCTACATTCAACAGCAAATGGGGCTCGTACGTCCGGTTTGTACGTACGGTGGATGCGGCATGAGTTTGATGGGTGTCGAGACTTGAAACTCATAGGATTTCGGCAGTCTTGCTAGATTTCACGACTTGCGGATGGGTTAATCAGAATTCAGAATTAATCACGAAGTTGCCAGCTGAAAACATACGTGTCAGTGCAGTTGGATCGTGTGCCGTCCCAGCACCATGCTCGTATGGTGTCATGCAGTATATTTGGCAAGCTAAGGACAAAGAGGATGGGATGAACCGAAACGTGTAGCAACGTGGAGTGTGACGTCCTGAATACGCGACATTCCATCGTCCAGCAGTTGTAGCCCCCATGCCTGGAGGACATGTCTGCAGTCCGAGCCTACGGTCGTTCATTGAACGATTTGAAGGCTCTTACGAGACGTCTGGACTGCGAGCGGCGAAGCACCGTGTCAGATTGGTTGGCACAAGGCATGCCGAATCGTCGTTAGTGAGATATCGTCTTGTTGATACCGCGGATTACTTTTGGTCATGTGCCTGCTCCGACTTGCCAAGCTGAGGTTTGACCAAAAATTCGGCTTTGGCGATGCTACTCGTTACAGTCTGTAGACGAATACTTCCCGCTCGGAAGATAGACCCCTCCGAGTTGATGAACATACCGGCCACTTGGAATCAATGCAGGTTCGAATGGACACGAATCAACTTGCAAGCCCCATGCGGATGCCCATCTGCGTAATTTGTGTTTGTGTGTGTGGGTGTGTTTTTCTCTCATTTTGTCTGTCTGTTCCTGTTTGTCGTCTTCTTTGTCTGTCTGTCTGTCTGTCTGTCTGCCTGCCTGCCTGCCTGTCTGTCTGCCTGTCTGTCTGTCTGTCTGTCTGTCTGTCTGTCTGTGTATCTGTCTGTGTATCTGTCTGTGTATCTGTTTGTCTATCTGTGTATTTGTCTGTTTGTCTTTCCGTCTTGTCCGTCCGTCAGCCCGACCGTCCGTCCGTCGGTCTGTCTGTCTGTCTGTCTGGCTGTCCGTCCGTCCGTCCGTCTTGAGTAACACAGCAGGAGAAACCCGATGTCCGTGGCATCGCTACGACAATAATGCTTGTGTGACTTTTGCGTTCGTGCTTCTGCTTCTTCGTCCGCGGGCTTATGACGATTTGATGACCCACTGTGCTGCTCTCGTGGAGTGTCGTGTACATAGCTGCTTTAGCACGTTGACTGGCAATGTTGCATGCAGCAGATGACAGACATTGTCACACTAAGGCCTCACATCAAGGCGAGTGGGTTGTGCTTTTGTCTGCAAGATGACGAGCATGGTTCTGCAGAGCTTTCAACACCCTGGCAGGGTATCTACGGATACTGGACTTTTACTTCTTCTCGGTCGCTTCACATGCAAGCAACTAGTGTTATCTCGCTGGCGTGGTTTTGCAAGTGCGGTGTCACATGACAGCTCTTGGAGTGCATGCATGGAGGCGAGCTGATTGTTTTGGGTAGTGCGACCTGGATCTCGGTGAAGCGGGCTGGAATGCAGCTGAGGATGCAAGCCTTTACTGCTTTGGAGAACATTTCTCCGGCCCGAATTGGTTCACTCGCTTGAAGCGAAACGTTGCAATACTGTCCGTCTCGGACGGTGACGGAAAAAGCGCCCTGCCTGGTAATCTCGATAGGCTCTTCAATTAAGACAGCATGTCAGGGTGTGCGTGACCAGCACTGTCATGATCACTGCAGTACATGGCAAGTAGCACTGCATGTGTAGCCTTTGATGTGTTGTGTCGCAGCATCCCCGCAACATCGAAGGTGTCTATAATGACTTTGCGGTGAGCGGCTGCTGAGACGCATCTTTGGTGTCCCTGGTTTTGCTCTGACCTGTTGCACTGTGAGGGTGACAGTATCAGCTCGGGAGTTCGGCGCGCTGTTCATTTCGACTCAGGTGAGTACAAAACTCCAGGCGCGCCGCTGGCTCCTGACAATGGGCCTCTTCAGTCGATTGAAGCTGCTGCGCCTAGGCTACATTTCTGTCTCGAGGTCTCTCTTTCGCTGTCTCGTGTCTCGTGTTTCGAGATTCAGTTCCCAAGGACGAAAATGGTCGCGTTTTCGATCGCCGCCATGATGCAGATGCCTGGCCAAAACATTGGTGAACTAGAAATGCAGCGCTTGGTTCTGATGCATAGCTGCGCTGCAACCCCATCTGACGAGGAGTTCAAACTTCTGACTGGTCTCTGTGACTTGACTGTGCACGTGCACGAGAAGTGTGGCGTTAGCAATCGTTAGCATTTGAAAAGCGATCGTGAGGGAGTTGTCGCAGGATGCCAGGGGCACTGATATGTGTGGCTTTCTGATCAGCAAAACGCACACCAGCTCTCGGAACCCTTTGCGACCGCCAGACGCTCTGCCACCCAAGGCGGAATGGTGCCAGCGGAGAGGCGCAGCTCTGACCGGAAGAGGTTGAGTAAAATAGGTCTTTGAGGTCTCGCCATACCTACCCATCTCCGTCAGGCGCTCGACCTGGCGTGCCCGGGCGACGCTGTGGTCGAAGACGCTTGGCAAGTTCCGATTACACGCTACCCACAGTGGGACTTCTGGTGCTTCACAGCATGCCTTAATTTTTTTCCTCGGTGATTCCTTTGTGGCATGGCTTGGCTCGGCTAGAAAGCCAGACGAGTGAATGCTTCAAGTGTGATTTGTCCAATGCAGAGGCAACAGGAAGTCGGGTCTCGGTTTAGGGTCGACAGGGGTGCACTGGCTTGTCCTGAAATGGCCTGGCACCAACTATCTCAGCTTAGGCATCCTGGCCCATGCTGCCCCCATCAACTTGTAGATCTTGTTGAAGTTGAAGCTGTGCCAGGAAACCGCTTTGCCGAAGCTGCGCCGAGGCGGTGGGCAGCTAGGCCTTGAAGTTTGAGATTGCAGACGCTCTTGCACTATTGGGCTTGATATGGCTGAATTCGCAAAAATTGGGGATAGGAAAATGCTTTTGTGCCATTCGTTCATTCACTCACTCCACTCATGCTCACTCACACCCATGCTCACCCACACTCACTCACACTCGCTTACTCACAAGCGCTCACACTCACTCACACTCACTCACACCCACTCACACCCACTCACGCCCACTCACACGCACTCACACTCACTCAGGCTCACTCAGACTCACTCACTCGCGCTCACGCGCTCACGCACTTGCTCACTTACTCACTCGCTCCCTCGCTCAGTCGCTCGCTCAGTCGCTCACTCGCTCAGTCGCTCGCTCACTCCAATCGCTCCGCTCACTCCACTCACTCACACTCACGCTGACTTACACTCACTCACACTCGCTCACTCACACTCGCGCATTCACACTTGCTCACTCACACTCGTCACTCACACTCGTTCACTCACACTCGCTCCTCACTCAACTCGCTCACCCGAACTCACTCAGTCACTCACTCACGCACTCACTCTCGCTCACTCACACTCGCTCACTCACACTCGCTCACTCACTCTCGCTTACCCACTCTCGCCCACTCACTCTCTCTCGCTCCCTCACTCGCTCGCTCACTCGCTCACTCACTCGCTCACTCACTCGCTCGCTCGCTCGCTCACTCACTCACTAGCTCACTCACGGACTCACTCACTCACTGGCTCACGGGCTCACGCACTGGCTCACTCCCTCACTGGCTCACTCGCTCACTGGCTCACTCGCTCACTGGCTCACGCGCTCATTGGCTCACTCGCCCAATGGCTCACTGGCTCACTGGCTCACTGGCTCACTCACTCACTGGCTCACTGGCTCACGCCCGCCCGCACGCCCGCCAGCCCGCCCGCCGGCCGCACGCACGCACTCACTCGCTAATTTACTCACTGCCTCGCTCACCCACTCCTCACTCACTCACTGGCTCACTCACTCAATGGCTCACTCACTCACTCACTCACTCACTCACTCACTCACTCACTCACTCACTCTTTCTTTATTATTTATTTCTTTATCTTTCTTTCTTTCACTCACTCTTTCTTTCTTTGATTCTTTCTCTCTGTCTGCATAAGTACAAGCAAAAATACATACAAAATAATGTGCATCTAAACAAGTAAATGTATATAACACAGACAGACAGACATACATACATACCTACGTACGTACGTACGTACGTACGTACGTACGTACGTACGTACGTACATACATACATACATACATACACACATCTGTATATGTGTATAGACAGGGTGATAAACACATCCACACATACAAATAAATAACTACGAGGTAGAAAAATAAGCATATAGATGGATAGATAGGTAGATAGGTAGATAAATAAACATATAGATGGATAGATAGGTAGATAGATATTAACATACCCACACGTACAAGCAAATAAATTCGCACAAAATAGTATTTACTGTTATATCTATTGTTTTTGTATTGAAGAAATAGTCTTATATATCTATCTATCTATCTATTTATCTATCTATCTATCTATCTATATCTATTTTTGCACGCATACATACATGCATACATATAGGCATGCATACATGCACACATACATCCATGCATTTTTGTTCTCTGACTGTGGGCTTGGATTCGGTACCGCAAACAGGTGTGTTCATGCTGCAAAGGAATTAAAAGGCAGTGGAAGGGACCGGTGCGACAAGCAGGGAAGGACTGGCGGTAGATTGACAGGTCGAGTGACAGGTGCTGGTGAGAGGGGAACTGGAGGGGAAGCTAGGGGCGGAGGAAATATATAGTGGCATGCGGAAAGATAATAAAGAGTGGTATTAGGTTTTTGGAAGCGATTCTCACACATGTACATGCAGTCTGCACCCTATCAACCTACACCAGTTTCTTTCATCCCTTGCCCCTTGCTGCAGCATTCCGCATAACTGAGCCTTCAGTGTGCCTTGGTGGATCGGTTTCGGCCCCCTCCTCCCCGCTGCCGTTCTCTTCTTCCTTTGCCTCTTGTCCACATCCATGCTTCCTCCCTTCGTCTCTACTCCCCCCTTTTTGAGCCTTGGCTGCACTAGTCCAGCCCTCTCCCTGTGCGGCAACAACAATGATGTGCTGACAACAGCAGGAAGTCTTCCAAGTTCGCGCGCCGGTGAGTTTTATCGTAGAATCCCGTTGAATCCCACGTGGATTGAGCGAAACGATGGGCGCCCAGGCCAAGTCGAACGACTTTTCCCCAAATTGCACCTTGGTCCCAGCTAAAAGGATCTGGCTAATTACTTTCATTGTCGCATTGGAGAAGTGCCGTTGTGCTCCTTTGCTATTCATGTCCGTGCGCTGGCTAGTTGTGCATGGTGAGGAAAGTAAACATTGTTGTTGGCGAGCCAAAACCCGAGAACGACGGCTCCCTGGTTTCGTGCTCAGAATCTCGTCAGAACGGAGTGCATGTGCAGACAGCGAGTCACCAAAACTTGTGGGGCAATGCTTCCTGGCACTTTGAAAGGTGCCGAATGGCAAGACGCTCGAGGCAAACGGCTGTCGAGCGGAGCCGGGGTCATTGCCACAATGATGTAGTAGGACCGCCTTTTCTGGCGATGCACATAGAGCCTGCCTGGGCCGTTTGCAGCTGGACCTATAGCCCCACCCCGATCGCAGATCCTCTGAAGGCACTAGCTCGGCACTTTTTCAAGGCCAGGTCCAGATGCAGACTGCATCCTTCGAGCTTGAGCTAAGCTCTGCGACCCACCATGTTGAGGGTCGCCGGGGCATCGATTTTCAAGAACGAAGTCCCTGCAGGATGAGGGGATCATGACCATTCTTGTACTGTTGCCTGTTGTTGTGCATGGACACATGGAAGAACTGGACAAGCACAAGCTGTTCTCTCTCACACTTCAATCAACAGTTTCCCTGACTTTTTTTGCTGTCACGGCTCGTTAATCATTTGAGCATGGAATGCAACAGTGCAAGTTCTCGAGGCTTTCACTTCTTGAGCCAGTCCTGGAATTCCCAAAGCTAAGAGATGCTATCAGTCATGCTATTCTGTGGAGGGTGGCCAGCTTACGTTGCGTTCGGGTCGGATCCTACTTTGGTGGGCATTTTTTTCCATCAGTTCCTGTATGTTTCTGTCAGGACAGCAGCCGCATTGTTAGTATCTATGGCTTGGGGAGTGCTTGTAGCACTTGTTGGTGCACACCAGGTCGTTTCTAGCCTTGTGCAAGAGCTTAGCAGGCTCCAAGACGCACAAATGCTTGGAGGCCCAGGGGACTTAGTAAGTAGGTTATAAGTAGAGTTATAAGTACCCTAACTGGAGTTACCCCAATTATAACTCTACTTATAACCGACTTACTAAGTCCCCCGGGCCTCCAAGTGTAGGCTTCAAAGATGCGCGCTTTGAGATGAGTCTTTGCGCTGCAATCAAGAGTTGGTGCCAGCTCTGCGTCGTCGAAAGAAGCCGGGCAGCTGCATAGTTGGGCCAACGGGATTTCGGAGCCGCGACCTGGCCGTGGTGGTAGACGCAGAGATGCAGGAACCATATTGAGTAGAAAGTGACAGTCAACAGCCGGGACATGAACTGAAAGGACCAGCTGGCGCCCCCAATGCATATCATCGCTCAACATGCAACGTGTCGCAATTGTTTTGGGCTCAAAGTGCTCAGCACCCGTTCCTGCTGTGGGTGGCTCCATCCGAAGAGTCTCCTTGACTCATTTATGTGAAGCAATGTCCCAGCAGATCCTTCGGCACAGTGCATGTGGCAGTTGGAGCGCTGAGAGATGCTTGCAGTGTGACCTTGAGGTGCCATGTGGAGCCTCTCTATGTATGATGTCGAGCATCCGAGCTTTGCTCTGAAGGCCTCTCACATAGAGCTCTCACGAGGGGTGCGTCTGTTTTGCTGCTGGCTTTCATGGCCGTGGGGTGGCGGTAAGGGCTTTTGGGTTGTTGCATGAAGGGCCGACCTTGTGTTTTGATGCACGCACACCGAGGATCGACATGTTTGGGAGTTTGACTTTGATAATCTAGGTTTCAGGGTGAGCCCAATCCTTCACAGAACCGATCTTGTTCCATGGGGCATGCAGATGGCAGATGGAGCCCCATGTCGTCAGGCAGCTGTAGCTGCGAATGTGCTGGCACCACCTTCCCTGACATTAGAACAAGTACGGGAGCTGCAGGAGCGGGCTGCAGGTTCGTGCGAGTTCGGGAGCCTTGTCAGCTTTGTCGATTTCCACAGGAGGCCGAGATTGCAGAGTACTCCAAGCCAGACTTCCAGACGCTCCTTCCGTTTAGCAGGTGCTGTGGCTTGCGGCATCCTTGAGCTTTGCATTGAAGGAACGAGCTGTACACTGCTCTCGCAACGACCCCGGAGAAGAGGGCCCATGTGCGGCAACAGCTCTGTGCCCTGGCTTAGCTCAACCATGTGTCGACGGGAGTCGTGTTTTTTGTCCCCGGCGCATGTGCCCCACATAATTCCTCTCAACCAAGGTCTCCAGGTGCAGGCACGTCGCCGGAAGTATTCACATGTAGAACGATTGCCCGCTCCTAGGCCGGCGATGGTTTCCATGTTGCGATCGTCGCAGGTGCCGATTGTGGGCAGACTCGGCTTTGAGCCCACTGCCCTTGGAGTTTCCCAAGCCACACTTGCCATCCTGCAGTACCACGGAGAAGCTCAGGCCGATTCTATAAATGAATAAGTTTCATTTCCATGCAGTCAGTGGTCCTGTAAGGTGCGTTTGTGAGTCGGAAGCCTGCAGCTCGTTGCACCGGTTAGGGGAGAGAGTTCCCAATGAATGTATGGCTCGAGTCTTAGACAATCAAGTAAATGGCGCGGCCGGCATCGTGGATCATTCGAGGACTTTCGACTGCGAGGAGTTTAGTGTCTGGTGGTTGCTTTGTCGGCTCGTTGTGTCTTCAACTCTGGCTTGCGTCGTGCTTGCTTGTGGTGGGCAGCTCTGTCGGGGGCGGAGGGAGCAGGTGTTCAATTCAAAGGCGCTCTGGCAACATTCATGTGGGGAAGCAGCTGAGGCGGTGTGTGCCAGCCGGGACATGGCAGTAGCTGCCGTTCTGTGCCTCGTTGTGTTCAAGCGTTTGCTGTGCGGGCTCTTGACAAAGTGAACACCTGCACCAGCTTGCATGAACGACATGTCTCACTGGCATCTCGTTGCAAGGGCCCGGCGGTCCGCCTCCAAAAACGACCAAGCGTCTGTCTCAGCTGGTGTGATGTAGTTGAAGGTCCAAGCCACTAGCCTGCGCCAAGGATCCCTTGAACCGCCTGGTGTCCTCGTGGCTTGGCGTTCAACTCTGCTTCCCGGCTCCGCCAAGTCCCTTGCTGAGCTGAGCGGCAGGAAGAGCGTGAACAGCGTCCGCAGTCTGAGCAAAAGCCCGAAGAGCAGCCGCAGCGGGGAGGCCGCGGTTTCCAGAAAGAGCCTGGACGGCGTAGCCTCGTCAGCCTTGGGGCGTCTCAGGGCCCGTCCTTGTTCGGTGCCGAAGAGGTGACATCCAAGGTGCATCTGTGGAGTGATCCAGAGTGAAAATGAGGGGCATGGCTTCGAGTGCCAGGCTATCTCGACCGTGTCGAAGCGTGAAGTCGACCAGGACGAGTTTCAGGAAATTCTGGAGGAGCAAGGACTTCAAGGGCAAAAGCACCGCTACGCTACAAGTCAAGATGTCCAACGTAGGTTGCCGCTACGTCTATAAGCTTCCAATATGCAGGACTTGCAGATTTCAAGGAGGAGGAGCCCATCAAGCCAAAGATAGTGGAGAGGACCGATGCTTGGCGGCAAAGAACTTGGACTATTGCGGGCGAAGCCACGAGAGTCAAGGGCCATGCCTAACCCTAAACCCTAAACCCGATATGGTGGCTCGTCCTTGCTAAGTAGGAGGCAAAAAACCCGACATGGTACCCTTCTCGACTTAGGAGTTCGAATCTGCAGTTGGCATCTTGATTGCGATCAACTCCCTGGTCATGGGACTGGAAGCCGACGCAAGCGAGAAGAGAGCGGTTGGATGGGTCATTGTGGAGAACTTCTTCTGCCTCCTCTGGATAGCAGAAATGCTGATGAAGCTCTGGGCTTTCCGTTTGGCTTACTTCAGAAGCGGCTGGAACGTGCTCGAGCTAGAATAGAGCCTTGTGCATGGAGCTGCGGTTTGTGGTAGCTCCGTGTCAGGTGTTCGACTTCAGCCTTGTCCTTCTTAACGTCTTCGAGACTTGGGTCATTCCTTCACTTGCAATCGAAGATCTGGATGCCATTGGGGTTCTTCGCATAGCTCCTTGAGAGAATCTTTGGTCCGTTCTCTCGCATTGCTGTTGCAGTTTCGATTTTTTTGCCTGTGCCATGCACATGACAGAGATATTGTCCAGGTTCGAGTTCTTCGAATACTACGGCTGTTGAGACTGATTCGATTAATGCGGCTTGCCGGCACCACAAGACATCGAGAGGGTAGCAAGGGCTGCTAGCCGCTCGGCACGACGAGGATTTCACAGCATGTGCTCTCGAGGAAGCTTTTCAAGAACCTCTGGCTCATCATCGTTGGGTTCAGGGAGTCCTTGAGTACGCTCTTTTGGGCCGCTGGCACGAAGCAGAGAAGAAGAGAGGAACTATTTTTCTGGTAGACTTGTTGGAAGTCAGGTGCTGATGCTCCTGTCCGTGGTTGTCTACGTGCTTCTCGGCTTGGAAGTAGGGGTTTAAACCATTTTAAACCTTCCTAAGGGAGAGCTGGTTCACCAGAGATCTTTCAAAACAACGCGTCACGTGTTCAGAAGTGTACCTGTGATACTACACAGCTTCTGCTTCACTGAGAGAAATGCAGTGCTCATGCAGCGGTAGACTGAGACCTGAATCGAGGTTTGCAATTTTTTTGCGCCTTACGTTGAGTTGCTCTGAGCAGCATCCACGCTGGCTGGACTCTTGGCCGCCTTGGTGGCGATGTTGACGGTGTCCATGTGGCTTCTGAATGTCGATGTCTTTTTGATTACCAGCCTCCAGCCTCTGTGAGCCAGGAGTGTGATGACTACTTCGGAAGTATGCCCAAAGCGATGCCTGTCTTGCAAAATCCGCGAGTTTTGGCGTTTTGAAGCAATCCGGTTCTCGACTCACCGCCTTCGAGCCCGTGACGTGCCTATCCTGTTTTCCAGAAGCCGATAGAGAACACTGCGGTACATCGGCGACCCACTCAACGGCTTTCAGATTTCAGCCAGGTTGTGGGGTGTGTGTGTATTTATGTGTTTTTCTGTGTGTGTGTGCAAACCCTGTTCCAAAGGGACTTCTCTTCGAGCTTTCAGGCAGCCGACTATAGTTCAATTTCCAATCGGATACAACTTTACAAAATGCGGGAGGGCCAAGAGTACTGACACCAACGAACACCGCTCCTGTCCTCCTGATGGGCTTATATGGACGTACCTTCAGCAATCGCTTGTGCTTGCTGTCCGTATTCGCTGTTGTTCGCAAATTCAACCATAAGCCGCGAACTCGACATTGCGCATTTTGCATACTGCTGATTGTCTAGATGGCCTTCAGAAAAGGTTTGTGGTCTACGGAAGGTCTTCGGATGGTATTCTGGATAGTCCGGTGTTCTGTG